CACTCTGCTCTCCGGAGGGCCGCCCTGGACCCCGAAATGCTGTCATGATCGGGGTGGCGGCGGGGGTGGCCGTGAACGGCTGTGGGTGCTGCGTGTGCGTGGGGGTGGCGGGGTGCTTCTGCTCAGGTGGAGCTCTAGCGTTTCGGTGTCACCCCAGAAATGCCCGCTCCCGGGGCTTTGCTGGGAGGGAGGAACGGGATGAGATGGGGATCTTTTCAAAATGCCGACAGCGCTGTGTACATGTGGGTTTACCTGTTTCCGCTTAAAGTTTTCAACCCAAGTACGTACAACGGGGGCGGGGGGGGGCGGGGGGCGTCGCAATACTGTATTTCTGATTAAACAGTATGATGGAGGATTTCTGGACGGTGTTGATTGAACCCATTGTAATTGTATGAGTCCGTTTTTAAACTGCGTTTTGATTTATCTGTTGTTCAGCTGTCCCAAACTTGGAGAAGCCTAATTAATTCTGCTTGACGTTTCCCAGGAAGTACCAAAAGCAGGAAAAAGTGGAAGAGGTTCAAAAGAAGCACAAGACACCATAGAATCAGAGGTAACTATTCTCAGATACTCACTTTCTGCTTTTTCGTGAACAGCTTTGAGCTTAGGCTAGAAAAACCGAGGCTGAGAAACGTAGGGTTTTGTAACGTTCCCCTATGTGAGATTTTTTTTTCTAGTGTCTTTCATCACCCTCGTTTTAAGTTACTTTGGTTTTTATTATTCTACTCTGGGTCAATAAGACTGCTTCTATGACAGTGGTGCGAATTGGTGCTGCTAGTATTTTCAGCTTCGTTCCCCCCACCTCAAGCCTGGGAGCCATCCAGTGGAGACTGGTGTCATGGCCTCTCTCCTGCCCGCCCCGGGTTCCTTTCAGCTCTCATCCTGCCCCTTCCTTTGCAGGTGCCAGGTCCCTCTCTCAGCAGCTCCTTCTCCTTCCACCACCTTGCTGTGCCGGATGCTGCTGGTTTCCTGGGCCGGCTCCTTGATGTCTGATCCCCTTAGTCTCTTTCCCCAATAGTGTTGCTATATTTTGGTTTATCTGGTTTGGGTATCTATACTAATAAAAGAGTAATATGCTAATTAGACCAGGAGACCTTCCGGGCATCCTTCCAGACTAAGCCATGGTGGCAGGGACCGAGGCAGAGGCAGTTAGGAAGAGGAG